ATGTGTGTAACAGAAAGGCATTGAGGAATATTTTTCAGTTGGAAGCACTATTAGAAATATCGGCTAAAAATGAGTACTTACTGATTTCAAATCTCATTTTATTGGTTTACACAGCTGTAAAACAAAAAATACTTGTGAAAAAATATGTTTTGGAAATTTAAAGCCCCATTTGAAAGGTGTGTGGATGAAACACCATGTGACTGTTTTGTAAATTTCTATAAATAGATAAACATGAGCAGGAGTCAGTTGGGGGTTAAAGGGTTCAACTGTTTGCCTGTTTGTTGAAGCGATGATCTGCAGAATGTTTGGGAATCTGTCGGTTCTGACCCGGTCTGTGTCGTTTCTTCAGGGTTCTGAGTGGAACGCCTCCAACCTGGAGGAGCTGCAGAACAGCGGGTAAGAGTCCGGCCTCTGAGGGCCTCTCAGCCTAATTAGGGCTGTAATTAGCACTCAGTGGGAATGAATGAAGCTTTTCTGCAGTGAATGAGTGAATCCATCCTAGTAATTACATTTCCAAGAAACGCTGTGGATCGTTCTTCACCGTTTATCATAACGCCCCTCCCCTGCTCTGCGTCCATCTTTCAGAGTGCGCTACATCCTGAATGTGACCCGAGAAATCGACAACTTCTTCCCAGGGATGTTTGAATACCACAACATCAGAGTTTACGACGAGGAGGCCACCAACCTGCTGGAGTACTGGAACGACACCTACAAGTTCATCACCAAAGCCAAGTAGGGGTCCGCCGCTCGCTGCGAGGCGCCGTCGTCGCCCCCGCCGGCCGCTCTAACCCTGTTTCTGCTTCAGGAAAGCCGGAGCCAAGTGTCTGGTTCACTGTAAGATGGGCGTGAGCCGCTCCGCCTCCACGGTGATCGCCTACGCTATGAAGGAGTACGGCTGGGACCTGGACACCGCCTTCGATTACGTGAAGGAGAGGCGCACCGTCACCAAGCCCAACCCGTCCTTCATGAAGCAGCTGGAGGAGTATCAGGGAATCCTCCTGGCCAGGTATGAGAGGCGTTTTCTCTAACATGTCCTCCATAATAAAAACAAATGTTGCATAATTTCAACAAAAACTAAACATTTAATCACAAACCAGCAAAAACCTGAACAACGGCGCTTCATTTGATCGTAAAGCTGCTTAACGCACTGATGGAGCGACACCAATACGGGAAGGAAGGAACACCATGATGGCGTCATTTCTGTGACACGTGTTTAACTGCATCCTGACTAATGCAGCCTGTAAATCAAAATACTGCACCTGCTGTGGCAGAGATTACAGAACCAGACGGAAGGATTCTCAAAAAAAGATCCAGACTAATAAAAATAACACTTCTGAGATACTTAAAGGAAAAGTCCGGTCAGCAAAGAATAATCAATGTATCATTATCTATACCTGAAACTAATACGTTAATGGTGATTTAATGAATGTATCGTTAATCTGTAAAAAAAAAAAAAAAATGTAAACAATAATTTTCGTTGCGATCAC